AAACATTGCAGAGGCAGGCTCACTAGTACCACGCGCACAGTCTCCCGGCGGTGTGGGACGGGGGCAGGCACAGGCACAGGCACAGGCACAGGCACCGGCACAGGCGACGGAGGTGAAATGATGGATTGTACTTGGTTAATCCTAGTTATGTTGTAAAATGATGAAGTATCGTACCAAATAGTGCAGCTTAGTGCGAGAATGTTCACGAACTTCGAACTATTACAACATTCGGGAATTCGTTGGGCGGCATCGGTCAAGCACATATTGCATTCCTCGGAAGAGATATCCGGCGTACATTGTAACAGGGCGTAAATTGTCTGAAAATCAGGCGCCCTCGAATTCCCTGCCGCAACCTTAATAGGAGAACATCATCGCCATGCACAAATACTTTATAAGTCTACTGATCATCATCATCATATTTATTGACTTTCGAGTAGTATCTCCTAAATTTATGTTTAATTTAACAATTTTATTATGCTTGGAATTTGAATCAAATGGTCCTAAATCCTAATTAAGTAGGATATATTATACAGAATAAAAGAAAAATCGTTTTCTTTTTCCTTTTACTTTCCAAGTTAATCAATTTAAAAAAAAAAAAAAAAAGTATATATATATACTAGAGATATATTGAATATTCTAGATAATATATACATATATTTCAAGGGCAAATTACGGCCACCATGAGGTATGATCAAATTACGAAAAAACATCTCTTGTTTGGGTAATTAGAGTCACACTCTCGTTTTAAATATTTTTACATAAAATTTATGTAATTCGATTATTCATCGAACCAAATCGTATATTCCGTTCGGTAAACGGTATGAAATGTTGGCGTACCGAAATTTCGGTTTGGTTTTATCGGTTTAACATCTCTAAATTTACTTATGTAGGTGTTTTTTCGTAAGATAATACATAGTTTATGGAGTGGCTGTAACTACCCAAATAGGAAGTGGTTTTTGTAATTTGACCATAACTCATGGGAGTAGCCGTAATTTGCGCCCTATTCTTCAATGCATAGTGTTAGAGCGAGCATTTTCAAGAATGAATAACGGTGGTATATAAAAAGAAGGGTTAATCTCAAAAAGGCTAGTGACAAGTGCACTTAATTAAAAAAGGGACATCCAACTTTTTGATCTTTCAAATATTTTCAGCTCAATCAAACTTATTTGCAAATAAGGAAAACTTTTTTTTTTTTTTTTTACGGAGGAAAACCCTTTTATATATACCAAAATTACCCATAATTTATTGAAACTCAATTCAACTCCAATTTCACAATTTACACCACAATTTAGCCCAATTTCACGTCCTTCGTATGCTACACCCGGTGAAAAACACCGGGTGGGTCTTCTGCTGCCACGTGTTATTTTTTTATTTTTCTAAAACCCCTAAAGGTAAACCCTAGCGGGGAATCTATTATAAAATACAAAAAAAGAGACACGTGGCAGCAGAAGACCCACCGGTGTTTTTCACTGGGTGTAGCATCGAACAAATCCAATTTCACCAATTAACCAATTTTGATCATAATTTCAATTTTGACCCGCCGCGACCGGTTCCGGCGGTCTCCGGCGTTGACTTTTTTTTTTTCTTTCTTAAAAAAAATATTTTACTTAATATTACTGTCTTGGCTGATAAATTACAGTATTCATCAGTTATTTAACTGCTGCTGGACACAACAATTTAACTGTTCATTGACCTTTTTTTTCTTAAAAAAATATGTTAATTAATATTACTGTCTTGGCTGCTAAATTACTATATCCAGCAGTTATTTAACTGTTGGAGACAATAATTTAACTATTAATTAACTTTTTTTTCCTTAAAAAAAATATTTTAATTAATATAACAGTCTTGGCTGCTAAATTATTGTTTCCAGCAGTTATTTAACTGTCGGAGACAATAATTTAACTGTAAAATGAATTTTGTTTTTGAAAATTTTTTTTCCCTTAAAAAAAGTTATTTTAATTAATATTATTGTCTTGGCTGCTAAATTACTGTCTCTAACAATAATTTAATTGCCTCAGACAGTAGTATTAGTGTATTAATTAATTTTATCTCTTGGCCTGCATTTTTGCTGTCTTCGACTGTAATATTACTGTCTACGACTGTAATATTACTATCTCGTGCAATAATATTACTGTTCGGGACAGAAATATTATTAGTAATATTACTGTTCGGGAAAATAATATTCATAACATTACTGTCCCAAACAATAATATTACTGTCTGAGACAGTAATTTAGCAGCCAAAACAGTAATATTAATTAAAATATTTTTTTCTAAGAAAAAACAAAATTTCAAAAACAAAAAAAATGAAAAAACAAAGTCAACGGCGGAGACCGGCCGGAAAAAAGTTTCAGAAAAAAAAAAAGTCAACGCCGGAATCTGGCCGGGAAAAAAAATTATATTAAAAAAAATTATTTTCTGAAAAAAAAAATTATTTTCTGAAAAAAAAAATTATTTTCTCAGAAAATTATTAAATTGGGGGTTAATGTAATATATTTGTTTAAATCCCGGGGTCAATGTGAAATATTGAAAGTTAGAGTATAATGGATGAAATTGATAAAAAATATATTATGGAGGGTATTTTAAAGACATAGGATAGGTTTATTTGAAATTAAGACTGTTTTTTTTGTGGACCAATGTGCATTTAAGTCCCTTGTCATGTCCATTTTTGCCATTTGACCTAGAAAGAAATAGGTGAAATATCCAGTATTTTTCTCTACATGCATGAATTCTATAAAATTTAAGAAACATTGTATGGTTTTTTTTTTTTTTTTTTTTTTTTAATATTTTGTGGAAGAATTGTTTAAACGAACTTTTACGGGTTAAATATTACAGGTCGCATAAAATAAACCTAGATTATGGTTGTGTACGATTATTAATAAAAAAGAAAATGACCTTGACTAGAGATCCCCCTGCAGCTGCCTTTCCGCGAAGATCGTCGAACAGCATCCTCAGATTCTGCTTGTATTGGTCGGGACTGTATACAACCCCATCCCACACCATGACGTAATAACCGTCGGCCCGAACTCCGAATATGGGCTCGTCTGAGTATCGCAAAGTGCAACTACCTTTCCACAATACTGACTGCTTTCGATTCACGCACAATTTTGCGATCTCCACCGAAGCGTTTACGACACATGAACGGCACGAATCGAGCTGGACGTCTGTTCTGCAGAGAGCTGTCGCGTAGGCTCGGTTCGGGATCCGGCCCACGTAGGCACCGTAGAATCCGGTGTCGTTCATGTTTGAGGAAAGTGACGAAAGGAGAGTTCGGAGATTGTTGTCGAACGTGCTGTTACTTACGTAGTTTTCGTCTTTGAAGCACCCGTAGTTCTGGGCTGAAATCTTTGGCAATATTATAATAATCAAGAACATGATTAATACCAATGGAATAAACCATTTTTGAGAATCCATATATTAATTCTAAGTTCTTTTTCTTTTTTTAATTAGAAGAAGAGGACTGGGATGATTTTTTGGTTAATTGAAAGGTATTAGAATATAATTTAGGGTAAATTACAAACACCCCCTGAGGTATGGTCAAATTACAAAAACACCCCTCTTGTTTGGATAATTACAACCACCCCCTCAGCTCCTCAAATTTAGTGGAATCTTCGAGATTATATGGAATATTATCACTTTTATAGCTGTTTTATTCCCATTCGAACTCTACATTATGAAGCAAGATGATCATAATATGTGTTTTTTAGCTTGTATATATCAGTTTGTGGTGCATCGGAAACTGTATTTTTACACAAAACGAGTACAAACTAGAGCACATTCCACGGAATCATCGATGATTATGTTGAATTTGGCACCATAAGGGTGGAGTTGTAAGAAAAAATCATAGTTGAGGGGCCGGTAGATGTAATTATCCAAACAAGAGGGGTGTTTTTGTAATTTGACCATACCTCAGGGGTGTTTGTAATTTACCCTATAATTTAAGAAACTTTCCGCGTAAAATTGATTTGGTCCCACTGCTAATACTTTTCAGCAGAGGAAGAAAAATAAATTAAAGAATTAATGGCGATCTGTGTAATAACACTAGACTTGGATCTTGACTTTGATCATGCATGCGAAATTTCCGAACACTTGATGTGAATGTGACATGAGTCAATAACGACAAGGGGGAAGTTGAAGGATTTTAATTCACGCCATTGACCACTTCAAAAAGACGTTGCTAACTAATTTAATTTACACGTTCACTTTCAATATTACATATATTAAGATATATCCAATATTAGATACTATATACTGATTGCACTAGGTGCAGTACCGGCCAGTGTATTTAGGGGTACTGCGAGAATATAAATTGTATACCCTCTGATCCTAAATATGTGTTTCTTTTCACTTTTCACAAATATTAAGAAACTCAATAAATGTATCTTGATTTTAGAAAAATCATATAGAAATGACTAAAACAGCCTTTATTGTTTAATGATTTATAAGAGAAAAATAATGATTAGAGTTTCATTAATAAGGTTAAAACAGGAAAAATGCATTTAATGCAATATTGGAAATCTAAAGTGACAGATAATATGGAACAAAAATATTTTTAAAAAGAGACAGTTATTATGGAACAGATGGAGTACTTCACTACTAGAAAAAATGCGATTTAGTGAAGGATTTAGCATCAGATCATATGTGTGTTTCTAAGACGGCCATTTCGCAACAAAATTAGTGACGGAGGAGAAATTCATCCCCGCGTTAAAAAAACTATTCATGTAGCGACGGCTATTAGTGACGAATAAAAAAACTGTCTCTAAATTATATTTTTTTATCTACAGAATTAGCGACATAAGATAAATTCGTTTCCATCTACAAAAAATTATACATACAACGACGGAAAATAGTAACGAATCAAAAATCCATCTCTAAATTATTTTTTATCAACGGAACTAGCAGCAGAAGATAAAGTATGTTACTAATAATTATTATTTTCTAAATCTTATAAGATCCCTAATTAGTAAATAAGTTTTTAATTATCAAAAAAATAAAAAAAATTAGTAAATAAGTTTCTCTCTTCTTCACTAAAAAGTTGCTCCCTCTTCACCTCTTGCATACACACCACACCGCCTCTTCTCCTGCCCTAAATTTCAAAAAATCATTACACTTTTTCTCGTCTCCTTCCCGCCACTGGTTGTTTTCTCTCTGATCTTTTGATACCCGTGAATCGTTTTGCCAACCGCCCTTTAGTGGCATTGGGTCTGCTCTAGGAGTAATTTTAAATACATTGTTCACTTTGTAAATTTTATCTCATGATTTTTAATATATACTTAAATTATGGGGTTTTCTTCTTTCTCGGCGTGTTTTAGTTGAAGACTCACCCTCCGTCGTAATGTTTTTTTTTTTCTTTTCTCATATCTAAGTGCCGCAGTTGTTTTTTTATGATTTCGGGTATGTTTCAATGTTTGTTGTTATTTGCTAGAATTTTAAGAATTCGATTTTAAAGTTGATTCCCAAGAATTTTGTGCTTTTTTTTTTCTTTCGATAATCTATGTTGTTGCAGTTGTTTGGCGATTATAAAGTTGATTTCCAAGAATTCTGCATTTTGATATTGATTTTTCTCGATTATCTCAAGTTTCTTACTACATTGGTATATTATTGTTAGAATTGTTATTTTCCATTTTGATTTTTCTAATTTTAACTTATTCATAAAACATTTCATTAATAAGTACTTAACGCAGAGTAAATAATAGCAAACTTATAGGATTTTCTAATTCTTTTGTTTACCATTTGTTTATATAGACAATTGTTGCAGCTGAGACGTTTAATCGGAGCAAAAGTTTTGTGCTTGTAACTCGTGCCTGTAAACACTATTTCTTGGACGCATCTTTTATTATAGAACTCTGTTTTATGCTTAACGTGTCTTCATTGAGAAGCATGTGGTCGATTTTTTTGGCATTTCTTTTCATGTCTTGGATCAGAATGGTAAAGATTGGTGAATATCATTAGGATTATCATCTAATACCCAGTCCAAGGTCTCGTTATGATTCTTATGTCTATTTATGCATGTTTAAATTTTATATAGCAGTATGAATAAATATATACATAGACACACGAACATTTTATCTATGAATCGGCCGAAATATCTTTTCTTTTTCCATCACGAAATATCTTGTTGATTTTTTTTTTTTATTATTTGTTTAATGTGGCTTGGTTATTCAACTAATTTATTTCCTTTTTTCAAGGTTTTGCATATTCTATTGTTTTTGTTTTTTGTTTTATTGTTTTATTCTTCATTACATCAGTTAACACTTGTATCTCTGGACCTGTAAAGACAAGTTGTGTTTTGAAATTGTCAGCAGAAATGAAGAAACAAATTGTTGATGTCGTCAACAGGTTAAATGTTTTCAAACTACTTAAATATTGCAAGCAAGCAGAAGTTTATGTGCATTGAATTGATTTATTCTCACTTCTATTTTTTTTCTGAAGTTTAATAATGAATTATGGGTCTACTGTCGATATTCATGGTTGAGGCATGAGAAGAGTAGTCATGTAGAATAAAATGTTGCTTGAATTTTATTCAAAAAACTCCCTTCATTTCACGTTTCAGTGA